CGGTCATCAGCAAATCACACAGTATTCTCTTAGTCCACAGACTTTATATGATTCGAGGATTAATGAAACACTCTGCAAGTAGGTAACAATAAGGAAGATCGATCACTCTGTAACCTGACCATCTACGTATACCGTTGTAGTGGTTGAGTAAGATATCGAGGCTAGCAATACACGTATACTGCAATCGTCAGACTATACAGGTGGTGAATAAGGCGTGCATATGGAAGCCAGTTTCAAAAAACTCGACAAATCCAATACATTTACATGATGATACCACAGAAATCAGTGTGATAAGGAACTAGAACATACAGAACATAATCGTTGCATTATAATCAATCTGATCATTTGCGCACATTATGGAACTGCAGCAATGCAACCAACAACAGCGATCTTTGCCACAATCAACTCATACCGAGAACCTATCAACAGCGTACTTGTAGGACAACCTTTCCGTAACTACGAGGTTTCTCAAAATGTTCTGATACTTTTGATGACAGCAATAACATTATTTATGAACATGGATTTAAATTTAGAGGCCTCAACTACAGAAGGCTAATTCTTGCAATGTTCAAAATGATGACGTCATTCTCCAAACAAAGCTGCGCATTACCCATCGACGACCGCGTGGTCCTGGGACGGTCCGTCGTCTGGCCAGGGTTTTTTACATTGTCTATTATACTTTCCGTATTTTTTTGACGCCCTCATATATGAGCTGCTCTACAGCAATCTAGAGAATTTTTAGGCGATGTGATCTAAGAATCGTTCACTTCCAGCAATAGGGACGCGATAAAAAAGAATTCATGTAAGGACATTATTGGAAGTAGCAAAATCAACTTCTATGACTGGTTACTACCCATACTTGGTGTAGTAGTTTGGGGTAACACATAAAACTAAATTTTTCTCGCGCCTGTTGCAAGACCTTCTCGGCATCTCTTGAAAACTCGACTGGCATTATGCGTAGAAAGTTAAAGTTAATCCTTATAAACTTTTATGATATTTTGTGGGGGTCTGGATCCTATACTTCACGAAGGTTCAGAGATGATTTGATAGCTGTTTCTACTTCCTGTAGAACGCGACAAAACAACAGTGGATGTCATAACGTGGACGTATGTTTTGTGGATGGCCTACCACTTCTTCTATGGCACCTCTACGGATCGCACGGAAGGGGCGCGTAAAAATTTGGTTGCTCCTGGGACTGTGTGGCTCGCTGGCGAGCCACAGCTGCACGTCGCGAAAAGCAGGACCGGTCCCACACGCCAGACATGATTGAAGCGCGCTGTCGCATATGATAAGAATTACTAGCTCGATGGTCTACCACCTCAACGTGGTGGGAGTGTGAAACAGGAGGCTTGTAGGCATGTCCGGCTTGAATTGATTTTGGCTTTTTAAAAGAATAGTAATTCTGTTTTTTTTTCAGTTTTTAGTATTTCATGACGTGCTTAAGTGCGAAGTTCTGGTGTTCAGAAGCCATGCAGGAGCTTATCTTGACCGACTTGCCGCTTCGCGTTCGAAGCTGTGGTTAGTGAGATGCGCGAGGAACTAAAGGGATGGCAGCCTTCTTGCTTGAGTCCCCCATCTCCGTCCGCCCGAGGCCGCGGTTGGATTCGTTCTTCACGCGTTAAGTTGCGCACAGCAAGCCACAGTACGTTACTGTGTCATCGCGTTCCGGATTAAGGATCAGGACTCGTTCGTGGGAAATTCTCCTACCAAAGATGAGGCGTCCTGCCGTTCTGTCACATGCTTCCGACACTACCATCAGATATCGGCTTGTATGATTCGAAACCTCTCGCCCACGTTTTCTACTGCTCGACGAATTTTTGCGTTGGAGTCTTCATCATTTTTCTTCATCAAATTTATATAAATGAATGGATATTTATATACAAAACTGATAGTTCAACGGCACGTCTCCATGCACAGTTGCTATAACCACGACGGTGAAGACTCAACACTGGCCCAGGCAAGGCCGTGTTGAGACTCCAGGGAGCGAGCTTGCTAATACAGCAATGAAACAGCTTCCCTATCCCGCACAATGGGTCCACCTGCGTCAGGGGGTGGCGATCGGTGAAAGGCGAGGAAATCTCGGGTTGCGCAGAGCGCCTTGTACTTCGATCTACGACAGCTCCGATTCATCGCGACATGGAGGCTGTTCGCTACTTTATACCTACAGCGCGAAAGAGTCTCCTCCAACAGCCCTCTTTATGAGTTCCTCGAGGCGACTAGACACATCAAGCAAGTATCATGTGATTGCGCTGCAAAAAACCAAGAGCAAAAGGACCGAGTGCGACGAATGAATGATGGAAGCGCGGTGGAGAACTTTTATCGCGAAAGGTCGGCGGCGTTGGTTTTGTCGTACCCCTATCTGTCATCCGTCTCGTCGATTTTTATGAGGCCCTGTATCCCCGCTTGACATCCTACTCCTACGACGTGCGCACCTCAAAACCATTTCTATCGTCAATTGCGATTCTTCACACTCCACAGATGACCAAGTAGAGCTCGATGCATTTTACGATCAAGTTGAGGAGATATGCAAAACGAAAAATTCTTCTGCAAGTCCGTTGTTAAAGATTTCTACGCTACGTTTGGCGGAGCCCAAGAGGAGGAGTACAGGATTGGAAAGCCCGATATGGGTTAGGAACGAAAACAGGAAGCGTCTAGCTGGACTTCTGTCCGCGGTTAGACTGTTCCATGACAACTCTTCCTTCCAGAAGAAGGATCATTGCCGCTGGACATGAAAGTCACCAAACGATACAACTCATGCTGAACTGGACCATATACTAACGAAGAGAAACTGGTGTTTATTAGATGTGGTACCCCTTTCTGCAATGGTTTGATCACTGGCTCCTTCGCGCTAAAATCAGATTCAGTCAAAAGCTGGAAAAGATCTCTCAACATAGCGCGAGAAGCTCTTAGCATGTTGTAAACGACGAAGATGTTCTGAAAGACGCCTTGTCCCGATATGACTGGCAGGTCATGGATGATCCGACCGAAGACTACGACGCGCTAGTTCGGGGTCTCCCTACTTTGCTGAACAGGCCAAGAATCCTCGAATGGATTCCTCCGCTCGCATTTCAGACGCGACGAAGAATCTGTTCAGGCCAGGAAGAGACTTGAGGCTTGATCAAAACGCTTCACATTTTCAAATGCTGCTAGCAAATATTAGTTGCAGACGAGCAGTGCGGCGACCTTCAGTTATACAGGGAGAGGAGACTACTGGAGGCAGCTTTGAACAGAACTAGTATGAGAAAAAACCATTGAGATCTTCAGGACCACAGTATTCCACTCTCATGTTTAAAGAAGCTCGACGGAGCTATTACAACATCGAGATTCGAGATGAAGGAAATTACCTGGAGGTTTTACACCAACCTGTACCGATCCACGACACACGTGCGAGCACCAAAAATCCCCACTGGCGGAACAGCACCTCAGATCCTTCTTTCGGAGGAGAGTTGCGATTGCAAGCATGAAAAGAGGCACTAGTCCAGACCCCGACAAGATCTCAGTCGACCTACTCTAAGCAAGCGGCTATGAACTTCATGCGTTTCTCGCAACTCACATGAAATCCTACTTGCAGAGAACTCCCAACCAGTGAGAGAACTCGTGAACGGTCATTCTTCACAAGAAGAGAGACCGATATGATATTCGCAACTACGGCCTAATAAGCTAGTTGAGTGCGCTTTACAAGCTGTTCATGAAGATCATTCCAACCCGCGAATACGAATGTCTCTTGTGCATACCTTTTTTGACTATGACAAAGCTTTTGACAGCGTCGAAATGAATGCGGTTCTGTGAGTACCGGTAGATCAAGGGAGAGGGACCAGTAGGATAGTGGGAACACCAGCTGTCTGCGACTATGAAACTGTTCCCACGACCTTTTGCCATCCCCAGAGGGAAGGGTGTGAGACAAGGCGACAATATTTTGCCGAGCTGTCAAAGGTAGGGCTGCGGATCAACCAAACAAATACACAATTCAAGAACAATGCTTACACTGAGGAAGGTTAAATGAACACCGATGGCACACCGATCAAGGAGACCCCGTCTTAAGTTTATTTCGGGCGACCATGAATATGGAGAACGGCATGAAGGAAGAACTGTTAAGACGACTGAAAGCAGCGTAGGCAGCCTTCGGATCTCTAGAAGAAGTCACCATCCATCTGGATGATCCGGGGCTTTGCGTTAGCAGGTTCGATTCCACATGCTTGCTTCCTGCGCTTTGTTACGGGTCGGAGACTTGGGTGACCAGTGCATCCATGTCAAGGGCTTTGAGCATCAGTCACAGAGCACTCAAGCGATGTCTTTCGCGGTTCAACCGGCTTACTCATTATCGAAATGAACTCCGCAGCTCCGATATGCGCCAAAATGTCTCGTATTCGCAATCCGGTGTAATACATGAAAAACGCCGAATTTCGGTGGGTCAGTCATATAATGAGATGGGATGACGACAGATGTACAAGAAGAGCACTCGAATGGGCTCTCGTAGGAATTGGAAGGTGTTTGAACAAGTTGCGTCAAGACCTTACAATTGCTCTATGTGTTCAGGCAGACCCTTCACTCAGACTTTTCTCCATCGGAACACCTAAAGGACATGGTTTACTGCACAAAACAAAAGTTAATGATTCATGATACTGGAAATGGAGAACGACGTCGCGATATCCTTTCTATATGTTATTACAAATAAACCATTACGTGTCGTTTATGACTCAATTGGTGTAGCGATATCAGCCCTACTTAGACAATAACCGTAATCAATTGGAACATTTCGCAACAAGACTCGTTTCTTGATTTGTCCATAATTCGAGCTACAAGACGTATCCCTTTTTTCATGACAAATAATTCATAGTCATACCGAATGCTAGCACCTTTTTGGTACCACGTACAGTAACAAGTGACGGCAGAAGTGGTGCAAAGCTCTGAGCCCTGAGGACAATGAATAGCTGCATTAAATGGAATCTGTTACCGTAAGCTCTGATGAATAGGGAAGAAAGCACGACTATTGAAAAGAATCAGCGGATGGAATCAGGCAAAAGTGGCGTCGAAGCTATATCTCCACTGAGAGAAATCCCGTAGAAACGTTCTTGCGTCTCCATTTCATCTTGGAATCTGCTTTCCAACACCTAAATATGAGATTAACGAACTTCGTTTCAAATTATTTTAAAGAGGGAGCTGTAGTAGATGTCACGGACCAAATATCATTTTGCAACCAAACAGCTACACTTTGATCTCCACGTGCTGAAAATGAGCTGACAGGGAAACCATAATACCAACTTACACTAGATACGCTCGATCAAGACACCAGTCAACAACCACTTATTCTTCCATGGTGCAACAATATATCAATATCAACACTATGAGCATTAAATTCCATCTACTACACTTGATTTCAGCACCTTTTTTCGATGATTACGGATTGGATTAAACAGGTTGATAAAAAGATGATGACATAAAAATAAAGAAGCGGTAGGCAATGTGCTCCGGCATGAACAAGAACAAGCAAATTGAATAATGTTAAGAAGCTCCTACCAATTTTCGCGGGGCTAAATCTGCTTGCCACTGTTCCCTCATGCTGTAGTATTTCTTTTCGTGTTCTTGCATTGTAATGCGTTCCTTTTCCAAGAGCTGCTTTCTCTTCTCGTTTTGCATTTCATCAAGTTCGCTCATCTGGAAATCCCTTTCTACCTTTACTCAATAAATAGCACACCTATGCGTCGGGTTACTAAATGATTTTATTAACAGAAGCTGTTTGCAAAATGGGCACTGCAACATATAAAGAGCCAAAATTATGAAGTGATTGAGGGGGCTCGAAAGCGATGACAGTGTCACAGTGGGATGGAGTAGAATGATAAAGTAAGCGAACCGCAAAAATGGCCTCACTGTAATTGCAAGCACTCTAACACTGGACTTAGGCTGTAACCTTATGACCTATCATGCCAAGCAACCTACACCCAAGGAACACACAAAAATAAAAATAGGTTATTATGCTAAACAGCAATGCTTTACAGCAGAGATATTTACCCATCCTAATAAGATATCTTGCAAATATGCATTATAATCGAGATATATTAATCAACACTAGCCGGGATATCGGAAGCCAAAGCAAAGGCAGCGACATCGGCAGCCTGTAGAGTAGCTCTGGTACGATTTCAATTCCGTAATTGTATTCTCTGGATGGAGCGGCGTACAATACATGAAGCCTCGAGATGGAATATTTCTCACTACCTTCAAGTAATTCAGAACCAAGTAAACAACATTTATCGTATGTACAAGCGTTAACACTTACTCTCTGACGACATGCCATGCCTCATTGCTAGAATTATTGTTGGCTCCGCTCAAAACTCGGTGCATACATCCCCTAGCATAAGTATTGAAACCCTCTTCTTTTGCTACCCTATATTCGTTTTTCTACATCCCAGTACGTTTTGAACGGAAGGTTAAACACATGTATCGAAATTGGCCCCTCTAGCTGAGTGCGCATTCCCCCAACCAATATCGTCGGGCCCTTACTCTGCTGGTTCTTATGCGATACGCTGATAGCCTACAAACTTTTTTCGGATAATGAGAGCTTTTTATTTAAGCTTCATCCGCTTTAGCAAACACTCCGAATAAATGAACATTCGGCTACTCTGCCCCTGGTAGTCCCAATCCTGTTTTTAGCAAACTCTAACATTATAGTAAGCACTTTCCAGTTTACAGCATGCCCCACTCATCGTAGGCGAGGCTCTCACCCAATCTGAACATGCCAAGCACGCCGAACACCTTGCTTGCCTCTACTACTTTCTGGTTTCTAGGCTGTCTTAAAATCTAGCTGTCCAGTTCCGGCAAGTAATTCCAACATTTACCAATGCTCCGCCCATAACTAACACGGCTCTAAATTATCCTTTGAAATACTGTTTGTCAGTTATTTTCTGGATAGGGCTGGTCAAGGCGGATGTGGAATAAGACAATTAGCGTACTATCGCACACGTATAGCTTGGGGACCGAATCCCAGATCGTTACTCGTCTAAGTCATCCGAACCTTCCACCCCTTTGGAGTCGGTCAGTTGGTATCAGAGTCCTGTGGTAGGATGAACGTACTGACTTGCACATTAATTGACCACCCTGAGTCGATGTACAAGTCACATACGCAATTCGAATCGCAACTATGATTCTGGCTGGAGGTCAAGTACGAGGTCACATCCAAGAACAGGATAGATTAACCACAGAGAATTTTTCTTTTTATCCCTTGTTCGGCAACACCATTCGGTGCATATTTGGCCCCCAGTCTTAGCTCGGGCTGGCTTGTGCGTTTTATGACTCTTATATTACCCATGACTTCTGCCCAACTTGACCCATATTCAGCCGAAACTCTCCATGGACAGTTTCTACTAATATCAGTTTTGCGACAAACATGCATATACACAAGCACCACCAAGAAGTTACAATTTTTACTAGGCTAGTCTCGGGCAGTCCCCTTCGTCAGAGCCTGGAAGCCAAAAAGAACATTTGGGATTCATTCTGATCGAACGACGTTCAGACTTCAGCACAGTTCAAGTGGTGCCTATGAATATCTAGAAAGGTTCTCCGCGGATTCCACGCGCTCTGGACCGCCCGATGAGGCCTGTTAGAAAAGAAACTATCTCTAATGGGTATCCACCGAGAGAACAGTGCTTTGGCAGACCACCTCGTCGCGAGACCGTGTTGCGTAAGCGTGGCCCCGATGATACGATGGTTGAAGTTCCTGCTAAAATCTAAGGCAGAGACTGATCCTGTCTCCATGATCGTTTCTGCATTACCCCCTCCCCATTGTGCCTTTGGTCCCAACGATGAGAGGGTATCTGCAGCGTCAGGTGTGATCTATTTAAGCACATGCAAGCTCTGCTGAAATTAACATAAAGGTAGACGGTAGAAAGGAGACCTCTGATATGCAGCGTTAAAAACCACCTAGCTGGTCTGTAGAGATTAAGGCCTAAAACACCCCCGAAGATAATAGAAGGCACCGCCACGAAGACGTAGAATTTGAGGTACCAATCAGGATCTTGATGGAAGGAACCCACGACCCCGTGCGAAAACTTTTGAAGCCTTTTGGATCAGCACGAAAAATCCAAAAATGAATCAGAAAGATGATTGTTCTGCCGTAGTTAACGAGCTTGAACCGTTCCTCGACCTGTGTGGTTTCCAGTTGCCACCGGCGTCAAGCCAGGAGTCAGGACACTCGTAGTCCACTTGCTGCAAAAGGTAAGGTTTAAATATGCAATTCCATAAGGGTGGGGGCGGGGGGGGGGGGGGGNAAGAGGGGCAAAGGTCTTCTTTTGGACATCTAAGGTGGGTTACCCATTGTGATTTGTAAGACTTTTCTAGATATCTATAGACCACACTTGAACTAAGTTGAGGTTTGAACATCGTTCAATCAGGATGAATCCCAAATGTTCTTGGCTTCCAGTCCCTGACGAAGGTGACTGGACGAAACATTCGCCTAATAAAAACTCAAAACCTTGGCAAAATCAAAACACCATTCCAAGACTAAGTGAGAGTCGAACATGATTGATTATAAAACTGACATAGTAGTCATTAGCGAGAGGATGAATTGTGTATACAATGGGCCAAAAAAGGCCCATCTTTAATGCAAAAATTATAGCACTTGTTTATGATAGCATTCATTTATGAAATTGATTTGCCCTACAAAGAATCTCGCAAGGACATGAACAAGACCTCTCTTTCTAATCAAACCTTTCCGGCATAACAAGAAACGACCTTTAATCAATTTGCTATGTCAATATGTCCGTTTCAAGTGATAAAACTTGGAGGCA